AGGATAGAAAAATCCATTTTGTTGACTAAGCGTTGCTTGAAATATTTAATGGTGCATAAATTGTTATATTCATTGACATCAATTGTTTAGAAAATTTAAGTGAAAGACAATGGCAAACAATTCTACTTTCATGATTTCATCTTTAAATAGTATTTTATAGCATAAATGAGCATGTGGTATGTTGAATAATAATGGAAACTTGATACTTTAGTTGTGATACTTAAAAATCAGTGAGATAAATGGCAGTTTGGTTTGTGATTGTGATTGAAAGTGTCTTCGATGAATCTCGGTATGTAATCTTAGAAATCATTGATATTGCGTAATTCACTGCTGCTTTTGCAGTGCCTATATGGGTTATTCTGACTATGTATTAAAAATATGACATTTATTACTATGGGTAGGGCCTGTATGATAGTTTACTGGTAAAATCCTAGCCAAATGACATTTTGTAATTGATTATCTGATAAGTAATGATAAACTGAATTATGAAAACTAAAACAGTTTAAATTTCAAGTAGTTCCACTTGACTTTATTAGTGCTAGTGTTTTGTTATCTTATGCTGCAGCTGCCTTTCACCTGTTTCACATAAAGAATTCACATAACTGGTTTGCTACAATCAGGTAACATTACAATTACATTCCATTCCATACTGTTGTATCACCTATTTATTTCAAATGGACCATCAGAGAGAAATGTTTATTAACTTTAATTTGTGTTATTGATTATCTCCTAACATGTTTCAGTTCATATGGTCCATCACCACAGGACAGGGGTTGTTTTATACATGTTGTAAGTTGTTGACATATATTATATATGATATCATTGTTTCCCAGCACAATCAGTTGTACTGGAGATGCTTTAGTACAACCATTTACAGGAAATAGGCATCGAAAATGATTATATGTCAATTGCATTGCACCTAAGATGATATTGTTATCACAATATGATGCTGTTTAATGAAAAACTTCCATTCTAGTCCAAATATTTATTTCAAAAATGTTGAATTTTTATCTTAAATTCTGTCTGTTTTAAGTTATCCAACTTGAATTATAATAATTTTCTGTCCTGTTGTCATGATATTTAATAACTGCACATCCATTATTATAGGTCAAGCTGGACGACTTTGTGGTAGCAGCATTAAAATGAGTACTTCACCCATGTGTTGATGGTTAATGCTTTTTTATTTTTTTAATTTATTGGGAACTTGGTTCCAAAACCTTCTAATGACACAACATATTGTTGGTAAACAACCTCTGGGCTGTGACTAATACAAATGGAAAAGGGTATATTTGAAGAAATCTTCAAAACAAACCAGTTTCTGAGTTGTGTTTGTGAGATAGTTGTGAGTGGTACCTGCAAGACTGCTGTACAACCCATAGGATACACACAAGCTTAATTACTGCATAAATTATATTACTGGTTAATAGTGAAGCTGGCGGAAATCATTTTGTTTTGATTTTGTAGGTTAGTGGTTGATCACTTCCCATTTTGCCTGATGCATATAGTTTATAGTATGACATATTTATACAATTTTAATCACAGTGTTTGTGATATTGGAGAATTCTAAGCATAGTGACAATTAGTTTAACTTATATCTTGAAATAAACTATCATAGGAGTTAATTAATTTGGCCATTTAAATACAAACACAATACTAATACGTAGTTTTAAGATTTGTCTTGGGCAAATTTAAGCCACTTTATAATATATAAAACAAAAAACACATAGTGTTCTACATCTTAGACATACCATTTTACAATAATTATCATGTAGGTACAAGAATTGTTAACTTCTTATTGTTACATAAGTTATTTATTCTGTCAGATTTACATATCACTATATTGTCCTTACATATTGCACTTTGGGAGAAGATCCCAGTGTTTCAATAATCGTGGAACTTTTTCGGTGCTGCATTGACCAAAATTTTGCAGCAACACACAGTCTGTTATCCTCAGTGATGGGTAACTTCTTTCTTTCACGTCCAACACATAATAACAGTTTTATCTTCATGTCTATAAATTTATTAAATTTGTTTTATCTTCTTAACAAATGTATTAACTTGTTAACAATATATTTTACCATTATAAATGGTATAGAGAACGTCAATAATAAGAATTATAATAAACAAAGTTTCAACAATAACTTGTTTCATCTATGTATAATTTTGTATGAATATGAATTATTTATCTACATAGCTGCTCCAACAGACCTACCAATGAAACATCATTTCTGTCACGCACCATTTCACCATTCATTCTGTGCTTTTCCTTATTTCTCCCCAGAAATATATTTTGTTTAAGAAAATAGATGACAGTTCTCATATGCTGATGCTTTTCCCACCCCTGCCCTTCTCCTAAGCCCTTTCACCTTCTCTGTTGGTTTTTATTAAGTTTTAACCCTTAGAAATACATAATAAAAATAACAATGATTGACATTTATAGATTTCTTTGTGACTATGAAGAAGAAGAAGCACTGACCACATTGCTTCTGACCATCATAACCATGACCAACCACCAGAAACACAATGACAAAAACCATAACCATCACCACCACTGTCCTACCACATCCACACCCATGACCACCACTTCCACCTCCAATCCCATCTCCAAAACCACCACAACCCCAACAACACCACCCTAAATTAACCAAATTCAGATCAAGATCATGCCAATGAAGTATAATTCCTGTTCTGCCAGTCTTTTAAAGTCTGCCATAGAATTGGTACCCCAATACTGCATCATCAGCTGTAGTTTCAGATGTTGGGCTACCTTGTGAAACAACAGTAATAATATGAGCATTTTTATGTGGGGTAATTTCCTGTCATTAAATTTTCAAGGGAACTGTATACAATGTGTGAACTAAGATAGACATTGAAATTTACATACCATGAATGTAAGACAGTATTTGATTTTTATAGTTTTGATGCGTCATGTTTGTGTTTAATATTCACATATATATTTATTATTCAAGTCATATACATAAACTTTTAAATTATTGATGTTAAAATTTAAAATTTAAAATTGATATTCTGCGCCATTCATCGTTAACTCGATGTTACAATGTTGCGCTTTAATATTTCTACATGTTTCGATGTCATAGCATCATCTTCAGGTTTTTATATTTAAAACTATTCTATATTTATTAATGCAAGCTTTTCATTGATTGTAGATTGTAGTTTACTATTGTAGGTGTTTTCTTTGATCTTCTTATTATTTTGCATATTATGTTGCATATTATGTTAGTTGTTCATTGTTCAAAAGATTGATGTGCAGTGTGTCTCTATAAACTGACATTCACCTGATCAGACAGGGACACACTGCACATCAATCTTTTGAACAATGAACAACTAACATAATATGCAAAATAATAAGAAGATCAAAGAAAACACCCACAATAGTAATCTACAATCTACAATCAACGAAAAGCTTGCATTAATAAATATAGAATAGTTTTAAATATAAAAACCTGAAGATGATGCTATGACATCGAAACATGTAGAAATATTAAAGCGCAACATTGTAACATCGAGTTAACGATGAATGGCGCAGAATATCAGTTTTAAATTTTAACATCAATAATTTAAAAGTTTGTGTATATGACTTGAATAATAAATATATATGTGAGTATTTGATGTTTGTGTTGATATATGCCTTTCCTGTTTTAGGAAAACAGGCTTTAATGAAAATGTAGAGAGGGGGGGGGGGGATTAGACTAAAATATCTTCTGAAAATCCAGTATACCAAAATGTATATAATTTGTAGTTTTGTATATATGCTTGGCTCACTGAAAGTTAAGGTAGCTTATATCTATAGGATTTGTTCATGGTCATATCCATATGCCTAATCAGATAACTATATGCATACTGCCAGTTATCTGAAATATGGGTTGTGTGTTACATACTGATACAGAACTTGTTCTTTCCACACTGGGCTTGAAGGAATTTCAGAGTGCAGTCCTGTTTCTGCTGCATGATCATCAATTTCAGGTCCGTTATTAAACCACATAACGAATTTACACAGCCGTACGAGAAAAGTAATATGCTTATGCATGTTGGAAATTTGTTAACATTACTAGCTGAATTTTAACTTTTATGACGAAAGTATTACACATCATAAGGGTATTATGCTTTAAACGTGTGTTCAAACTTGCTCTTATTGTAGTATCCTCAGACACCACTGAAGTCTTAGAAAATTTGCCACGATGATAGCCGTCGTCTGGGTTGTAACGCCATGTAAGTGCAAAAAGGTTAAAAATGTTGGCAAAATTGTGTTTTAAGGGTTATTTGCCACGTCGCATAGGTTACCTGCCTGTATGATTAATGGTTTTGGACCCGGAAGGCTTGGTAGAGGTCACGTTTAACCTTCCCCCACTATGTAAGATCCATGAGTTATGACGGATGTTTTGTTTTTATCTGTGGCAACTTTCCATGCAGTTTCAATCAACTATTAAAAGAGAGCGCGCAAATAAATTCAGTCAGGCCCCGGGGTTAGTATGCAGTTTGTGTTGCGTGGAAAAGTGTAAGGTTGTTACGGGTTTTATATTAGAAGAACAGGTTCTTTTTGTCCTAAAGAAGTACCGTATATGCATACTGACCTTTTCAATTATTTCATAATGTCATATACTGAAGATTACATCAAGTCAAAATTGCAAAAGGAGCTTGAAGCAACTCATATTGTAAGTAACTTATTGAAAGTGAGCCCACTTTCCCGTTAACCAATTTTCCTTGTGTGAATAGAAATGATTACATTACGGTATTTACATTAAAGTTATTACACTGTCTGTGTTTGTGGTTGTAGTCTTATTAAAATGGTGCACTTACCTGCCTCCATGCTCTGCAGAAAGCAGTGTCCCCTTGCATTGTAACTGTGATACCAAGTGACACTGGATGTGAATCGGTCTATGTAGAACTGGTATTACAGTTCACCTGAAAATGACCATGTGTTTTGGGGTGTTGGCTTTCTAACATTGAATATCATAGTTTGTTTTGTGGCCATGTGACATGATTTTCGAATACACAAATTTGTTATATTAGGGTTCTCTTGTGGATAAGAAAGCTACAAATACAAGATTTTTAGGAATTTTACTGCTTTCACAGCTGAACTCTTTATTTATGTGCTAGCAGTTTTGTAGTATATTTGCAAAAGGCAATCAGATCCTTAAAGTTCAGCTGGAAATGTATGGGATGGCAGCACATATTTAATGTATACTGTGAAGGAAGAAAAAACGTTTTTTACAAATGTTGTGACAGTGTGTTTGACTCTTACCTATCCTATTCTGATTTTAACAATGGCTGTTCCTAGTACAATGTAATTTCTCTTGGTTCAGCCATTGCAGCAGTTACAGCCATAATCAAGGGAAGTGATCATATAGATTTGTGCTTTGTTTGTCTCTCCATAAATTTCAAACAAGTGGGTCTTTAATATTGGCTTCCTTCATTTTATTTTCTTCTTGAAAACTCTCTCCCAAAACAAATCACATCTGTTTTGTCTTCTGTTGTTAGGATCAGTTGTTATTTACATTCTTTGTAATATGGATTCCATTCTTGAAGTGTTAACCTTATAGAAAAGGTTTTTCATCGTTTGTTTCACTGTCTAGGTATCTTTAGGACAAGGTTTATGATGTGTGGTAATGTTTGAATTTTGTCTGCAAATTTAGAAATACGTTCACCCACTTGCAGATGGCAAATGTGTATCTTCTTGTCACATTGTTGGTCGTTCTGTGAAGCAGCGAGCTTCTGCTTTCTGTCATTAGCTCTTGCAGTCTACATGTTCTGTTTTCAGGTTCATCAGAGAGCATACTTCTTACATCTATACCACTTGTGCTTGCCTTCCTGTAGAGCCCTAACCTTGTTTTTGTTTCCTATTTATTTTTACTTTCACTGTGTTGCCATTTTTACCAAAAGACTGGCTTCTAATTTCATACATTGAATCAACTGAATTTCATTCAGTATTTTGACCTTTTCTGACTTGTTATTTCCATCTATTCGTGTGTGTATTTTATTTTTTGCATATTTCAAATACTGACAGATATTCAGTTTCAGTTTTAGTTAAAAGTTAAAATTGAAGTGTAGGCCATTCACTGACATCTTGCTCATTATGTTTCAGTTATGCTTTTTTAAGTATTGTATCAGAGGATAACAGATGTTAATCAGAAATATGTCTGACTAAAACTGTAAATTAATTTTGTACTTTAGTATCTGTACAAATATGAAGTAAAGAATAAAATAAACCTACATGAATATATGTGCTTATGATACATAAATAAAACATTTGTTCTCTGATGTGCTTTATGTTTCTGTGCATATGTTTCAATGAAACTCCTTCCTTTACTGTTCTTACATAACCAGTTTCTTTCAAGGACTGTCCTATGGCTTGGATATTGGTACTTATGAAGTCGTGATTTTGCAGGAAGTTCATGATGAATCTGATGGTTGTGGGGCAAAGTTTAGTGTCCTCATTGTGTCAGAGAAGTTTGAAGGGAAGCCTCTGCTGCAGAGACACAGGTATAAGCTTCAGTCATTTAAAATTCTTGTCATACTAACTCAACTTAGAACGTAACAAAACGACGCTCCCTTATCAGGTAGCCTAGAGTGATTTCTTGCATGAATGTTTTGATGTGACTGAAGTTTCAAATGATATGACACATAAGTTTTATTTTAGCTTTTGAATTGGAAATTTGTATTGTTTATAAATAGTATAATTTTTGTGGAAACTGTGATTTTGGTGGGAGCAGTTTTGAATCTGGTCCATAATTGTCATGTTCCTTGTTGACATAATGAGCTGTGGTATAGTTGGCACAGTAGTTTTTGGCCGGTGAAGCTGGCGGACGGGCCTAGTCTCTGTACCTGAGGTGACAAGGTCAGTGTATTTCTTTTGTTTTGGTGTTAGGTCTGATAAGCTCCTCGGTGCAGTCAGCATTATACCATTATGCCCTTGAAAATTCCACCGGCCAAAAACTACTGCACCGACTATAGTGTCAGACTACAGACTGGACATTGACCATTTACCCTATCCATGTGCTGAGGACAAGATTGAATAGGAATTGCACCTTCTTTTCTGCCAAGCACCTCCATGGCTTCTAGCAGAAAAACTTTATGTTTACTTGTTGACATGAAATAAATTATTTTATTTTCTTAACATTGGAACTTAACAGTGTGAAGAATGAATAAAATAAGTAATGTGTTGGGCTTATAGTTTCGCATATTTTATGTGACTTTCTGATGAGATGGTAGAGACATTGCATATGTTATTTCAGTCCTTGCTTGTGTGCATGATCTGATAGCCCTGCACACGTCCGCACCCCATACCTTTTATGTCACGTGACGTTACAGGGGCATAACATCCATTTACTATTGTGATGGTAATGAATGGAGTTGCTGAAGCTGGAAGGTTGTATTGTTATATTTTGAAGAAAAAAAATTTGTTTGATTATGCTCATCCACAGTTCATTTGCTTTTGTTAGCTGTGTTCAGAACTCTGTTCTGTTCTGTTTTGTATTTGGAGGTCTGTCTAAATACAAGCTACTAAATGGAAATAGCTCATCATTGTATGTGTCTAACCAGTAATAATTTCTTTTTCACTTTAAATCATCCAGTTGAGTTTGCTGTGTTGTAATTAATTTCAGTGAATAAATAATGTGAGTTTAGTGAGATCGAGGTTCTTACAGCGTTGAATATGAAGACAATTGTCTTTTGGGTTGTTGCACCGTTTAGTCAGATAGAAGATGTTTCATTCGTGCTTGCTGCCTCGTCTTAATTAATTTTCCCCTCATAATTTGTACAAAATGCCTCTTTTCATCACTTTGAGTGAAAGGCCAAGTCTTACACCTGCATAAACAGGTGAAATGTAAGTTCCTTAATTCTGCATTTCAGATAGTGGACCATGTTTTTACTTCGTGTACTTGAATTCATGTTAGAAAGATAGCTTTTCAAGTTAACATATATAAAGTACTAAGGATTAAGATAATGTGAAGTGTTGGGAGAGGCAAGTAGACGAGGTTCCACACTTATGCAGTCTGATTCTGCAAAGGTAGTTTCAGGATTTCAGTGTCATTGTGTCACTGTCCAATGTTTTCAGTATATCACTAATGCCTCCAACTTTGGACATCCTTGATTTGACCAGTTTTAAGGTATTTCATAATTGGTATGTTCCGAAAATTGAAGGTCTGAACTTTATTTCATTTTTCATAATTAGTGATCACTACGTGAACATTAAATATCTTGCTGTTCTTTCATAAAGTTTGTGCCCTCCCACCAAGTACTATGTTATGCAACTGATAAGTCTTTGTAGAGCTGTGTGGTTTAATTTAACAAAGGATTCACACACACATACACTTGATCCTTCCTGTATATGTATGTTGTGAATGCGTGAAGTCAAGATGGGGGATTTTGTAACTCAATAATTTAAGAGGTTCCCGGTCAGGAAAGCTAGCAATGGCTGGGGGTTCGTCCTGCTGACCACATGTCACCCTATATCTGTTTGGATGATCGTTCACCTCTGCTTAGGCATGTGAACGTGAGGCCAGCAGTCAAGCTAGTCGGCTTTGGCTCTCTGGAGCTGTTACGCCATGGATTTTAATTCAAGAGGTTCTGTATTGTGCTGTCATCTCAGAAATATTTACAACTTCTTGATAAGACTGTAGTCTTTTACTGTTTATTAATTCCCAGAGCTAGTAATGTGCCAGTATGACTGCTAATGCTTTCTTTCATATACTGTGTGTAATGGTGTCTCAAGAACTCACAGGCTACACTGTATTTTATGAAGTTAAATCCATGGCAGCTGCTCCTAAGGTACATATCAGCTGTGTCATTAGAGAAACGAATGGTAAAAAGTGTGGATACAGTTTGTTCAGAACAAAATGTTTTGGATTCAGGAAGTGATGGTGGAAGTTCTTTTGATGTCTGTGTGCTAGTGGATGATGGAGCATTGTTGAAGCTGGAAGATTTACTCTGATGAGTGAAAAGGTGTACTCGAAATTATGTTTTGTTAATGTAAAAAGCTGCATCGTGTGGGGCTGGCCATGGCCTGGGCCAGAGAACTCATTAGCTCCATTATGATTGTGATTTTTAGGTATGTAATTGGCCTCATCAGATTTTATGTTCTTATGTACCTTTAGGTAGATACAAGTGTTTGGAGGTGAAGCCTAATGTCTGAGGGAAAACTAATAGTTACTAATCCTGTCAAGAAATTTTTAACCTTTACGGAACCTGAAAATTTATTACTGTTGTCACAGTAACTGGCATGAGAGCCTTTGAAATTGAATCTTGTCTAAATAATATTTAAGAATTCAGTCCATACCACAAAGAAAACGCAACTTCACCATTAGAAGACCAGCTAGTTAGAGGTACACTGTCCAATATATCTGCTCCTTCTAATAATTCAATTTTTCTTGGTTGATGGTTTTCAGTAATTCTTCATTCCAGATTTGTGTTCTAGTGGCATTTTTGTATAGATGGAAACTCTGAATTACATTAGATATTAGTTATATATTTTCAAGATGCTACCGATGTTTACTTTCTTACAGATTGGTTAACTCCGTATTAGAAGAGGAACTGAAGACTATTCATGCCTTCTCTCAGAAAACATTTACAACACAACAGTGGGAAAAACTAAAGAATGCTTAACTAAGGCAGAATCTTTAGTTACTATAACATCAGTTTCATAATTTATTTAAAGGATATATTTATCACATTAATGCATGGCACTGACTATAACAGTAAGGTTATAAAAAGTCACATCGTATCATTTATTCTGAAGCGAAGTTCAGAGAAATCTTGATCATTGTCAAATAGTTAGACAAGATGGTACCAGTCAAACATCCTCTGGCTTTCACAGTTTCAGCACCTGGGAAGGTTATTCTCCATGGTGAGCATTCAGTAGTTCATGGTAAGACAGCATTAGCTGCAAGTTTAAATCTCCGCACAAAAGTTACACTCAAAGAAACAGACAGTATTGATGGGAACATTAGCCTCGATTTGCCAAATATCGATTTGAAACATGTCTACGCTGTTCTGGAGTTAAACAATGTTTTCCTTTCTAAGCTACCACCACTGCTAAACGGTTCCCAATGTGATTTTAATCTCTGTAATCCAGAGCTCATCAATACCAGGAAGTTCATAGAAACATTGCGTGAATACGTTCTGAAATCCTTGAAATTGGAACAGCTCCCATTTCAACAAGAATGTGCACTTATTACCTTTTTATTCCTGTACACAGGAATATTTTGTAGTGTGAATATTCAGATACAGCCATTCATCATAGAAGTCGTCTCAGACTTGGCTGTCGGTTCTGGTGCTGGAAGTTCTGCAGCTTTCTCTGTCTGTCTCTCTGCTGTATTAATTCATTACATCCGTTCTAAGATATCTCTCAGTGGCATTACTAGCAAAAATATTTCAAAGGAAGGTTATAAAGATATGGAAATGACAGTTGATGATTTAACCATGTTTTCTGCAAAAGAAAAAGAATTGATTTCCCGCTGGTCCCTGATAGGTGAGAAGATAATGCACGGGAATCCTTCTGGAATTGATAATGTTGTATGCACCTTTGGTTCAATTGTAAAGTTCAGGAAGGGGGCAGAGGGACAGGGTCCACTCTTAGAACGTGTACAAGGAACAGCAAAGTTGAAGATTCTTCTGGTAGACAGCGGAGTGAGAAGAGATACTGCTGGGATGGTAGCTAAAGTGTCGGAGCGTCTAAAGCACTACCCAGAAGTGGTGCAGTCGACACTGGATGCCATGGACGGCATTGCTATAGCTGCTGCAGACATATTAACGCAGCTTGGAGAGTCAGATGCCAAAAATGACGATGCACTTGAACAACAGAATTCTCTTCATACAAAACTGGAGGTGAGGAAGCAAAGAAATAACGTGTTTTGATTAGTTTGATGGCACAAAAACACTGTCTTCCAGGTCTTGAGTGATAGTTTTACACTGTTCTATGCAGTAAGTTCTAATATTTCTGAGTTAAACTATTTTTCCCATGAAACTATTGTTTATGTTCCACAATGACAAGCATTCCATATGAAGATTATTCTTATTGAATCAGATCTGTCCAAGCAAGTAGTGTCAACTTCACAATAATGCTGCATGTTTATTATTGCACTCCATTTTCTGACATAAGTTTTCCCCCCCTGGACTCCATGAGGATAAGTTATTTGTAAATAATAAGGTTCATGTGTTATTGGCATGACTGCCCTTAAATCCTTCTAACATTTTATTCAGAGGTTCACATCTTGAGGTCAGGTGCATTTTGAATGACTAGTAGAATTGCTGTCAATTTCCTAGAATTGTGACATAACCCACATGCCAAGATGTTTGCTCATACCCATTCAGTCTTTAAATATTGATTTTATTCGATATATATGTGTCATATAACATTTGAGACAGTAAATAAATATTGGAATGTAAACCTAAAATTGTACTTGAATATTTAAATGTATTTCTTTGTATAATTCAATGTGTCAATGAGTTGGTGCAAAACAGATGGTGGGTGGTATGAATGTTGTGTAAAATCTTACGAAGTAAAATATTGTGGACTAGGAGTATGGTATGCATTCTGTTTACATTTTTCTACTGCAGGAATTGGTGGATATGAACCAAGCACTTCTGAAAGCTTTGGGTGTGTCACATCCATCACTAGATCGCATCTGCAGTACCGTCTCGAAGTGTGGCCTCCATGCGAAACTGACAGGAGCTGGTGGGGGCGGTTATGCTTTTATCTTGCTTCCAGTTTGTTCGAGTAAACAGACAAAAGTACAGCAAGTGAAGTTGCGGCTGCAACAAAAGGGATTTGTCTGCACTGAAACAGAACTGGGAAGTGCCGGTGTAACTGTCTCAAACTTAATTTAATAAGGAGTGTGTTGATTTTTGCTGGTGGTGGGCATGCTTTTTCTTATTATGTAGATCAAGACTTGTACTGAGCAGATCAAATTGTTTAATCTTTTAACTGCCATTTGGGCTATATTATCTGCACACAAGAGGTATTAAAGATTAATATGAAGTGTTTGTTTTAAAGTGTTAACAACATGCTCTTTATAAAATAAAAGTTTTAAGTGTTTCATAATAGTAGTGAATTTTTGTGGCTTGGAAAAAACAGTGTAAACATTCCTGGTATATGAGTCCTTTGTTAATGATGTCCAGAAGAATTACAGCCTCTCTTCATTGGTATTGTACATTCAGTTAAAACGTTCCCCACACATGTTAGAAGGCAACAGTTGATATCAGCAGACTAATTTTACTTTATGTCACGAGGAATCATCCTTCTGCTTGCTGGATCTATTTTCTCCAGCAAAAATGCTTCTCTTACAGAAGTTACATTTTCAGGAAGACATCAAAGCCACAAGAGCTCATATACATTATATGTGATAAGTATTCAGAGTTTTATATGTTGTGAGTAAATATAATCCTTATAGATGGTCTGTCTTTCATATATTTTCTGTACCTGCCTACCTACCAAAATGCTTAAATTCTAAATACAGATATTTTTCCCTATAAAACAAGAATATTACTTTCCATTTGAATTTCTCTTATTAGTTTCATAGGAATAATACATACCACCATATACTGTGAAAATCAGTTGTAGATAAAAATAATATGGCTTTGAAAGGGTTTGTATAATATTTTTATAAAACCATTTACAACATTTAACAAAATGCAGTTTTGTTTCCCTCTGTATATTGTAGGGTTAATTTTTGCATGCATATGTGTGAAGTAAGTTGATTTTTTTCATATCTTAAGGTATATATTACATGTACATTGTTTATAAACTTGGTCAATTGTAAAATGAATAGTGTTCAATATTAATATAACTTTACTTTAAAAGTGTGTTACACATTACATACTGTTTTGATCTTTCTAGCTGCTATGCTGGTTTAGAGTCTAACAACCATGCAGTAACATAATTTATTTAAATGCAATGCTTTGTGGCCTGGTAGGTAGGTACTGATGTTTTTGAGGAACATACTGCCTCCATATTAAGGACAGAGTCCATGCCACATGGCATTACAGCCCCTAATAGAACTATGAGAACCTTAACTATGCCGAGTTCAAAGTCATATATTGATGCTTACATAATTGTGTCTTGTCTACAGTCTAATCCAGGCCCTACCTGCTGTATTTTTGTTTGCAGTAATATTCGAACTACCCGCTACCATTATAGGAAGTAATCAAAGAATAGTCCTGTCAGTGTGATCGATGTCTCGTTTATAATTGTAGCTTAACTATCACAGTAATGTAGAACTTGAGTTATAGCAATATTAGTAAAAGCGACTCTAGCGACAGCAATGGGAGCAGTAGTATCTCCTAGTCTTATCTTCGGCCGCCAGGGATTGTCATTATTCTGTGATGTTGGTACTTTTATTATCTGTGGTAGTAATGTTCAGTCCTGACGGAAGTGGGGGAATGTGAGTGTTGCTTGAGAAACTTTTTAGTTGTAATAATCGTAGTAATCCTACCATATCTGTTGTAGGAATTGCATGCTAGGTACTTTAATACACTATCTGAATTAAATACTTTCAGCAAATGTCTGTACGTTAAATGGTAGATAACATTTTGTTTCCGAAATGGGTGTTTTATCAAGGGAACATGTTAGATGCATCTTGCGTCCCGGGGTGACCAACATGTTTTCCCAAATTTTTAGATGGCGGACATTGTACAAGAAATTGCAGCTGCAGCCATGTCTTCGCCATCTCCAACGAAATCACCAAGGAAGGCAGTAAAGGATAAAAATACAAAGCGTGGTAAACCTAGAAACTACGACCTAGGGAATGGCGTTTACAGGTTCAGTCGTACTCGCATGTACCATAAGAAGGCGCTGTACAAGTTTGTTGGCAAGAAAACGGAAAAGAAGGTACAGTATTAAACCGTCCTAGTGTTTAGAAGTAGATTGATGTGTTTTAGCTTACAGGGTTATCATGGTCAGTATAATGACTAGGCTGTGGGCAGGGTTATCAAGGTTTGATTCTGAGCAGAAGTAGGAATTGTTCTTGTAACCACTCTTCCCATATTGGGTCTGGATTCACTGAGTCTTCTGTGCAATGTGTATGGGCATACTCTTTCTGGGTGGCATGAACCTAACAACTTGCCTCCATCAAGTGTCAAGATCAAGAAAGAGTGGACCCATACAACAATTCCAGTGTTTTCATGGCATGGGGATTAATTATGCACCAGGAAGAACACTGTTTGAGCAGTCAGTTGAATTGGGGTCCATCATATTATTTCAACTACTTCATCCTAACCAAAATCAGTGATCTGGTAGGTTTTGGAAACAGATTAGATATGTTCAGCAAAATTTTACTGCTGAATACAGTTATATTTGATAACATTAAGCAGTAAGTATTGCAGAAGCTTGGAATGTCTCTTTACAATTAGAGATGCAAGGTCACTTAACAGGCAGCTCTCCCCTTAAGTGCCTACACGGCATATAGTGGGACATTGATTGTGGATGGCCAGACTTTACACAGATTATTATAACTTATGTTCATCATAATAAGCGTCTACTCCACAATCTTTGTCCTGGTCGGTATCTGTGGACTTCTACAGGGTCTCGCTGTACTGCTTTATTCTAAGTTCACACTTATAACACAGTCACTGGATTAGTACAGAATAATCATTGACTCTACTTAGCCTGCCTTAATTACAGAAAGGAAACTGTCTCCCAAGTCCTGGATTTTTCTAGTCTCATGAAGCAAGATTGAAGTCAGTCGAGAAGCTTCCAGTACCATATGTACTAACCTCCCCTTTCCACAGGTGGTGTGATACACAGCCAGCTGTGAGAATTTTTAGTTTGTGTGCTAGTCTAGGATTAAATTTACCAATATTTATTGCATGTATATTATTCTCTTGTTGTAGGTTAAGCCAGTCAAGCCAAAAACAATTGAGAAAAAGATTGGTGGAGAGAAAAATGGAGAAACGCGTATAGTTCTGCTTAAAAAGAGGAGAAATTATTACCCTACTGCTGATAAGTATGAACTGAACTAAAGTTCTATGACTGTTCTGTGAATTATTTCCTGGATAGTTTATATTTTATTGCACTCACAGAGGAGATATTTAAATGAGCATGGGGAAAAAAATCTTAAAATTATGTGTACATGCTATGGCTAGTTGTTTCTTTCCTATAACATGTTTTGATTAATATTTTTTACTTTCCTTAACTTCTACATATGTGGTCATCGCAGCATTGTATAAACATCCTGATTCTCCATAGACAAATTGCCACTTCAACCTCATCACTTGCACATAGCTAGTCACTTTCAAGTGTGTAAACTTCTATTTTCATTTATCTGTGCATTGTTAATTTATATCAGAAACTTTTAAATAATTGAGTGTTTTCCATTCAGTAGTGGCTACTGGCCATAGTAATGTTTTACCAGCGACGTTCAGCTTATCGAGAATGGCGATAGTAGCTACAGTAGTCGCTAGACATCTTGTGAGCTGTCGGCACGGTGAGCAGTAAAGAGAGGCGCGCACTGCGTGTGCATTAACATACATTCCAAAGAACGACATTTCTGTTACCTTCACGCTTCTAGTTGCATGTGGTGCTATACTGGCAGGTGTATATTTACATGACTGTAGAAAGTGATAAGATATGCTTGTTATATAAAAAATAATGATATGGAATTCTCATTACAATCAAAAAGTATTCCTATATTTGACATTATTACTTGACGATGCATGAGAAAACAGTTGTAGGTAGAAACAGACTTGTCATTATAGGACGTACTTGTTTTGTACTTTTGCTGTGTGGAAAAGGAAGATATAGTAAGAAAGGGGTAAAGTGCATGAAGACTAGATGAGGGGAGGCAAGAAATATAGGACAGACAAACAGAATTAATAGGAAAGGAATACAGGAGAAAAGATTGAAGGAAATGAATTTACATAAGGAATAATGGGTATGAGCTGGAATAGCTCAGTCAGTATAGTGATTAGCTATGGGCTGGATGACTGGGGTTTGATCCCCAACAGGGGCAGAGGATTTTTCCTCTGCGTCCAGACCAGTTCTGGGGCCCACCCAGCCTCCTCTACAATGCATACCAGGGTCCTTTCCTGGGGGTAAGGCCAGCCGGGGCGTGATGCTGATCACTCACCCCAAGCGCCTATACGGCACGTAGCGGGACAAACTTTACTTTACTTTAAGGAATAATGGGTAAGGGATAAAATAAATCATAACGAATTGAATTTTGAGGTACCAGTGATTGATAACAAATGTTCTGACAACCTTTGATGTATTTATTATTTTCGTCACTACCACTGAGGTACTAAAAGAATACTCGAGTACATTTATTCTGAATGATTTTATGGGTAGTTTATGAGCTGCATGCTGTTGAGCTGTTTGTTGAAGAAGTTGCACCTTGATTCCTCCTCAGGATTAAGCCCCACCATAGCAAGAAGTGTTTCTCGCAGCATAAACGTTACACACGTTCATCACTGACTCCAGGAACTATCTGCATACTGCTTGCAGGACCTCATAAAGGCAAACGTGTTGTACTGCTCAAAGTGTTTGCATCTGGACTGCTGCTTGTTACAGGTGTGTATTGGGTGAAGTATAAACAGTGATGTGTTAATTTGACCTTTAAGTAGATACAGAATGTATTCATTGGCTTGTTCATTTTTATTGACCAGCACTTGTATGTATTTAATAGAATATAATGGGTTATATATTGTGGGACTTTACTAAAAGTTACACCTGTTAAAAGGAGCTCCTTAAGAGTAATTATCTTCCGATGTGGTAGTCTTCGTTCAGAATTTTCTTTTCCCATTATCACACATTGGATGATCTCTTGTCACGTTTTTAAGTTTCCTTTTCTTTTGGATATTTTTCAGTTTTAAAATAGCGCAGTGAATAAAGTGTGTGAGATCATTGGAATGTTGAACTTGGTCAAGAATTATCTGTAGGAGAACACGTGATGCAACATCCATCAACTTGTTTCCCACATTTCTAGCTATTTTCGTCAAGTTCTGTCTCTTATGTTTCATAACATCCACTCGAAGCACATATGAACACATTGTTTCCTCAGTATGCAGTGATGATGGACAACCATCTTTTAGATAATTTTCAGTGGAAATTTTTTGTTGTGATACTAAATTGTCTGACGAATGTCATTTTGGCATTTGTGTTCTGCAATTTAGCGTTCTTCACAAAGTCCTTCAGCTAACAGAATTTTGAATGACAACTGATTGCTTCCTTTCTCAGTATTTTTTTTTCTGTATAATGGCATCGGAACTGAGGCGCTGCGGAAGCTTTGTATGTCATTCTTCTTTTTCTTTAAATAAATGGGTAACCGTTGGTCTCTTGCGTCAACCCCGCCCATTCATTGGTTGTAATCCTGCACTGAAGTAGGTTTTGACTCTTTCTTTACCTCTAGTTATCAGTCCTGATGTCATGTTTGTGGTATGTGATAACTGATAACATATTTATGGTGTTTTGGCATATAATATCATCATCGTCTATACCAACTTGACAACAGATGATCAGATTTTCATGGAATTTGATATGGAGGGTATGAATGACTGGATGATGGAGGTATTGTTTGAAAAATTGTGATATTTCCACAGTGTAATTGATTCATCGGTTGAAATATTATAGTCTGGGAAATTCGGGTTTTTGAAAAGTGTTGCTGTTTGAGTCTTATTAAGATAAAGAACTTTACAGCTTATTTCCAGTGTTTCTCTTGTTATAATATATCATAAACACAGAAGTGTTCTGAGGAATATCTTGTCCATATTTACGGTGAAATATTTTCACGTTATTCTTCGCTCATTCTAGGGCCCTTCAAGATCAATGCTTGTCCTTTGCGTCGTGTGAGCCAAAACTTTGTGATTGCCACGAGAACGAAGTTGGATATTTCAGGCGTGAAGTTGCCAGAAGGCATAAGTGACAAATACTTCAAGAGAAATAGGCAGAAGCGTCCAAAGAAAGCAGAAGGTGACATATTCAAAGCCAAAAAGGAGGTGAGAAATTAAACATGTTGCAGGTAATTTGTTAGTTTCCATTCTTTGTTTGATATCATTTGACAAGGATTGCCAGTTACAGTATTATGAGGAATAATTTACTTACCCTTGCCTCTCATTTTATTATTTTTTACTACTTCTTAATGTATTCATAGTTTTGATGATTTTATGTGCACATGTTACTATGTATCCTCCAGGCATACAAGCCTTCAGAACAGCGCAAAGCAGATCAGCTATTGGTTGACAAACAGATCATAGGAGTGATCAGGAAACATCCAGAGAAGAAGCATCTTTTTACTTATTTGTCAGCGATGTTTGGACTTCGTAGCAGCCAATATCCACATCGTATGAAATTCTAAGATGAAAGCTGTGTAATCCCTAGTGTTTGTTCTTGTTTAATCTTTGAATAGATTAAATTCTGGGGAGATCTAAAATTGTGTTTGTATAATTACACATTACCATTTTCGGTACTTGTAGGTTATCGGGACACATCGCTTTAAAAATGGGTTAGGTTAGGTTAGTTGAGTTGTCATTTATTGAAATAAAATATAATAACTTTCAAGTATTTGTCATTTATCCACACACATTAACCTAACCTAACCTATTTTTAAAGCGATGTGTCCCGATAACCCACAAGTACCCCATTTTGCATTTAATCCATTACATCCTCCTCGATTTAATCACCATAATAATAGTCTTAATTGAAGAGTAAAAAATGTGAAGCTCCACATCTAAATTTAAAACTAATAAATTAGGGCAGAAGTTTTGATGGAAGTGGAAATTAGTTTTGCTTGTCAAAATCAGTTTGGCTCCAAGTGATAGTTTGCAGCAGTGGAAGGGTAAAGGATTTATTTAACAGGTGTGTTTCAAATTATTACATATTTACTGAAGCACATGTGAACATGGCAGCTGTCTTTGGTACTGCATGAACATTTGGGTAATTGTATAAAGTGAAGCATTTGCAGTGACCAAAGTTGATGAAAGACTCTTGGACTAGAAGCCATGTCAAGAGGCTGGAAGGTGAATAAACCGTATCTTCTGCCAATGTTTCGAGAACAATCTCCGTTCTCATACTCAGGGCTGCTGGGTAACCAGTCTGTTCCTTTCGCAGAAGGTAGGGTTTATTCACGTTCCAGTCACCTGATGCGGCTTGTAGTCCGAGAGTCTTTCACCAAGTTCAGGCAATTGTCAGTACACTTTAATAGTCTTATTGTGCTGATATGAGATACTTGAATATAACACTTTGAACTTCAAAGAAATTAATATGTCATTCACTGTGGCATAAAATAGAACTTAGGCATCTAAAAACAGGAGGAAAGAATAAATGGGTGTTCTTAGCTTTGTAATATGATGCCAGTTTCTTATACAAATGGTTGTGTAGTGGTCAACAGAGTGATGGGTCAGCACATATCCTGATATTTCCTCATGAATGGTCACCTTCAGTTGTCATCAAAAGTTTGCATAACATACTTCTGCTAATAGGTTCTCTTTTGCTTTTGTTCAGTTCTTTTTCTTTAGAAGTTCTAATGTGTATTTTGTGTAAAGTGCAGAACTGACAATGTACATTCAGTACATATTTTTCTCCTTTATCCTTTTAGCATTGAAAAGTACTTCAGACACATCAATGAAAGTAAAACAATGTTGTTATGACAAATTGGATCCTGCCAAAAGCATCGATTATCCAGGAATTTTACGTGGCTGCTGCTATAAAGATTACAGCTTTTATGTTTGATATGGTGTGAGTAGTATAAAATGCAACTTTAAGGAAAATAGTGTGCAAGGCAGGAGGAGAACATTTGGTTACTTCATGACAACCCTATTAGGGTGTGGCATGTGTGCATCTATTTCTGCTGTTCGAATCAGTTTAGCAGATTCACACAGCATTTATATGGAATGGTTAAAATAATAATGGTACTGTCAAATAAAATGGAATTTCTTCTACTGTATGTTTTGAAAATACAGTTACTACTGGGCTGTAACCATTTGTTGTCTTACTACTTCTGAGTATCATGGAATTTATAAGTACAGCATGAAGGTATCTGTTTTAAAATGATGGTATGTTCAAGTACAATGCCCTTGATCTAAAGAAATTTCATTTTAGTGGTTGGTATTACTTACAGCCTTCTAGATTTGCTTTCTACAAAGGTGGTTGTTTAGTACTTTATATTTCTCTCCCATTGGTCTGGTGATGACCCTTCCATGTTCAACCTGCTCATATCATCTGTCCGAACTTTTGTCTGTGTTGCTTACTAAGCTGGCCTGAAGATGGAGTAAGTTGCTCTGAAATTGTGGACAGTATCTACCAGACTACATGGGCATATAAAGTAGACAGCCACCTTCTTGGCCTGTTCTTAAGTAAGTACACTTCTAATTTATGAATAAATATTAAAGTGTCGCATAGGTTTTGAAATATGTCAGTATCAGAATAGACTGTAAAGTACCCACAGGATGTAGTACAGTAATACATAACCTCAATTTTTTTCTAAATATGTATGAACTGTAAATGCCACTTCAGTAAACCATACTGAGTACCTGATATGCAGCACATGCATAGTTACACTGGATCCAGCCAAACCTTTGCCACTTTTTTTTAAGTTTTCATCATTTCCATCCATAAAAACAGTTGGACCATTGTTTTCCTTTTGCTAAATTTTTTTGGCTGCTGAAGGGCCTAATTGGACTTTTCATTTTCATCTTAGGAGTCCTGTGATAGATCTTGAAAGTTGTAATATAAAATGTTTTATCCAAGTGTTACCAAACCCAAGTTTAATTAATGTTAATTCATTTTAAAAACTTTCTCCAAGGATTTTGATTCCTTTTTCAGATTCTGATGAAACTTTATGTAAGATTCCTCTTATATGAATATTACCATGTGTAAGTTTTAATTTATTTTAAAGTGCATTTTACAAAAGGAAATAAATCATAACCTTTCATTTGGGACCAGCTAGTACAAATAACGTGCAATGTATAATCCTGTCTGGCAGCCTACCTGTTCAAGACTTTGTATTCTTTCGTCTACTTTTTATTGTGGGTCTAAATCCAGTGGAACTATAAACAATTGCATCTACCAATACAAGGAAAGTGGTCTTTTACATTGAATAACTTATATTCTGTAGTACAGGTGAAGCAATTTGCAAATGGCTGAACATATTTTCAGAATATGTAATACTGCGGAGTTTTGTTTAAACTTAACACATTCATATTTTGGCTAAAACCACTGCAACATTTGGCACTTTACATGAAACCCATATGTGTGCAGGGGTGATTGTACATTCAGATATATACAGTATTATAGGAAATTTGAAGTTCTTATGGCAGCGAAGATGTCTGTGTTGGTCTCCTGGATTGCAATGACATAAGGACTTGTTGGAAGATACCAACATTTTGGCAGACCATAATGCTTCAGTCTTTAGGTCTGAGAGAACATTTCAGAGAATCTAAGTTAAACAACTTGAAAGACAAAGTAACAACACAATGAGATGGTGGAGACCTGATTTAATTAATTAAAAAATGAAGAAAGAAAGAATGCCAAAGGAGGTTTTTGAATATGAAAGTAGATTCAAGATCAAAATGAGAACAAGTTAGGAAATGTTACACCAAGGGAAGGAAGACCTTGTGTTGAAACTGAGGAGGCACTGTGGGAATAGAGATTGGACTGGTGACCCAACCCACTTAACAGTAAAAACATTCTACGAAGAAAGAAGATCATCAGTTGCTGTATAGTCCATTGTCATCATATCATGTACATTACACTTTGTGAAAAATCAAATTAACTGGATGTGTTCTGTATTCATATATTTTAATCAGCAAGTAAAGGCTAATTTTTATACTAACCACACATAAAGTATTACACATTACAGCCACACAAAAACAAAACTCACATTATCATTGACATAAATAAACTAGGGTATAAAATACACAAGGTACAAAACATGTCACATGCAAGAACACACTATTTGTCCACCATGTTCATTGACATAAGCAACTGTGACTTCCTGGCTCCCAAAAGAAACAATTACTCACTGCCCAGTGCTAACAGCAACTGCTGCTAAAATTATTCACACATCTACAACTGTGTCCAACATTACGTTAAGTACAGGTTATTATTGTGTGTGCGGATATGGTTTGATATACCGCTGAACAGCACTTTTTCTGTTTGAATCGTATGTGAAACGTGGTTCCCCTAGAAAGTGTCGGAGAAATTGTTATTATCAATTTCCCGTGATCGCAGTTGCAAACACATGTAACCATAAACTTGGTAAATCATGTCTGCTGGGTCACATATGGTCTGTTTTGTGCTTACTGAAGAAACACTGGACAAAATGAAGGATAGGTTCAAACATACGCCACTGAAATCACAGTTGCTTTCTGTGACTCGTCTTTGCAATCAATTCACGACTGCAAAGTTGACCGTCATACAGAAAAGAGATGCGGAAAACGTACAAAGAGAAATTCTGGAATTTCCTCAGGAAGTACTTCTTTGGGTGTATTTAAACATATTTAAATATTATAGGATGTGTACAGGGCCACCATTATCAGTGCCTCTTATAATATACACAAGTTTGTTGACTCACATCAGAAAAGTATAGTAGCATTCAGCAGTGAATCATGCAGTTCCTGCCAGAAGCCAGGAACTGATAGTTTCTTGTAAATATGTCAGCAAACACATTGTACTTACTATACTAACACTAATTAATATATTGTATAAATAATAATAATAAACTGTGGTCAGTACATGGCAGTGGATACAGATATTAATGATTGTTAGGAACCCTGTGGCATTTGTCATTAATGTCGAGATAGGCGGAGTGTGACAAAGCCTTTGAAGCCACAATTATACTTTTGGGAAGAATCTTCACATTCAAGAAACTCTGATACTTTTAAATGAGCTACTTCAATTGTGGCATTTCGTAACTGACTATGTAAGTACTGTTACTCAGTTCAGTACTGAAGATAAAATAAGTAGAAGTGGTATGGCAAGATGTATAATTCTCTAACATAATTAAATACTAAATTGTTCTTGTAAAGATCACATAATCACAAAATAAGCTCATTTTTATATAGTTATTTCGTACAGCTTTGAACAGAAGTTCATAAGAATTTGTAAGATTTTTTATCGAATTATTTTGCATGAATGTCGATATTTTATTTCCTGGGACTAAATGCTCTGTACTGGCAGAAAAAAAAACACATCGATTAACCAAAAAAAAAAAAAAAAGTAGCCCCAGGTACATTCTGTGTGTGTGGGAATTTCTCTAAGCATTCCTTAAATACTTAATTTTTGGTTCTAATCTTTAGAAAGTGTGCATTAAATGTTCTTGCTCATTTAATTTAGAATAGAACTAAATCTTCCATGATTCTATTTTATGGGAAGAAGTAATTTTTCTTACTTCAGCCCCCAAGCAAATACAAATAAATTTTGTAAGTTACTTAG